CTTTTTAAATTGGCTTGAAAAACTGCCTCCATGTTTGATTCTAGTAATCTCTAGTAGACAAGCATATCCTCTATTCAGCCATTTTTCTTGACTAATTATTCCTTATAAGACACCCCTTTTACCTTTCTGGTCATTTTTTTTTTGGTCTGTTTTATTTTTGTTGTTGTGTGAGACATAGTCCCACTTTGTTGCCCAGGCTGGAGTGCAGTGGCACAATCTTGGCTCACTGCAACCTCTGCCTCCTGGGTTCAAGCACTTCTGCCTTAGCCTCCTGAGTAGCTGGGACTACAAGTGTGTGCCACCACACCCAGCTAATTTTTGTATTTTTAGTAGAGATGGGGGTTCGCCATATTGGCCAGGCTGGTCTCAGACTCCTGACCTCAAGTGATCCACCTGCCTCGGCCTCCCAAAGTGCTGGGATTACAGGCGTAAGCCACTGCACCTGGCCTGGCCTGTAGTTTTTGAGACAGAATCTTGCTCAGTCGCTCAGGCTGGAATGGAGTACATGGAGTGCAGTGGTATGATCATGGCTCACCTTAGCCTCAGCCTCCTGAGCTCCACTTATCCTCCAACTTCAGCCGCCCCAGTGGCTGTGACTGTAGGTGCACACCATCTGGACTGGCTAAGTTTTGCATTTTTTGTAGAGGTAGAATTTTGTCATGTTGCCCAGGGCGGTCTTGAATTCCTGGTCTCAGATGATCCTCCTGCCTTGTCCTTCCAAAGTGCTGAGACTACCACACCTCGGATTATAGGCATGAGCCACCATGCCCAGTCCCCTTTCTGGTCATTTTTTTTTTAAAAATGGGGTTTCACCATATTGGTCAGGCTGGTCTCAATCTCCTGATCTCAGGTGATCCGCCCACCTCAGCCTCCCAAAGTGCTGGGATTATAGGCGTGAGCCACCGCGCCCAGCCTTTCTGGTCATTTTAGATGCTGAATGTTTGTCTCTTCTACCTTTATGTATTTTGGGAGTCACTATTTATTATCTAGTTCCCGTGTGGATGTGAAAGTCTTTACAGATGAGTAAGACTATAGTTCCTTATCTTTTGTTTTTATTTCTTCTTTAGAGACAAGGTCTCACTACGTTGTCCAATCTGGAGTACAGTGGCTGTTCACAGGTGTGATAATTAGGCACTATAGCCTCAAACTCCTGGGCTCAAGCAATCCTGCCTCAGCCTCCCTAGTAACTGAAACTACAAGCACGTTCCACCTTGTTTGGCTTAAATGTCTTTAAATACAGCAACACAGTAAGCTGATATCTCCAGGATACAATTGACAGTGAGTCAAAAATCTCCTTATTGAGTTGCAGCTGATAATTCTCACAATTGCCAGATGTGGTGGCTCATGCCTATAATCCAGCACTTTGGGGGACCAAGGGAGGAGGATCACTTGAGCCGAGCAACCTGTCTCTACCAAAAAAATAAGAAAAATTAGCCAGGTGTGGTGGTGAGTGCCAGTAGTCTCAGCTACTTGGGAGACTTAGGTGAGAAGATCACTTGAGGCAAGGAAGTCAGGCTGCAGTAAACCACAGTCATGCCACTGCATTTCAGCTTGGGTTACAGAGCAAGACCCTTTCTCAAAAAAAAAAAAAAAAAAAAAAAATCACAATCATCATGTAAGATACACAGCTTAGGGCCATGTGTGATGGCTTACACCTGTAATCCAAGCACTTTGGGAGGCTGAGGCAGGTCGATCAAGGTCAGGAGTTCGAGACCAGCCTGGTCAACATGGTAAAAGCTCATCTCTATTAAAAATACAAAAATTAGTTGAGCATGGTGGCACTCGCCTATAATCCCAGCTACTTGGGAGGCTGAGGCAGGAGAATTGCTTGAACCTGGGAGGGGGAAGTTGCAGTGAACAGAGATCACATCGCTCCACTCTAGCCTGGGCCACAGAGTGAGACTCCATCTCATAAAAGAAGTACAGCTTACTAATGCCGACCATGGCCTGAATTATAGCTATGCCAATTACAAGATATGACACTGGGTGGGATACTTCATCTAAGTTGTTTTTCCCTTCTTTTAGATACTAATAATACCTATGAAATTTAGACTTGTGAGGATTAAGATAATGCATGTTCCAGGCCAGGCAACGGTGGCTCACGCCTGTAATCCTAGCACTTTGGGAGGCCGAGGTTAGCGGATTGCCTATGCTCAAGAGTTTGAGACCAGCCCAGCCAACACGATGAGACCCCGTCTCTACTAAAATACTTAAAAGAAAAAAAATTAGTCGGGTATGGCAGCGTGCAGGGCCCAGGAGGCGGAGGCTGCTGTCATGCCACTGCACTCCAGCCTGGGTGACAGAACGAGACTCCATCTCCAAGAAAAAAAAAATATATATAGTATTAAAAAAAAAGATAGTATCTGCAAATAGCAAGTGATCCTTCAGTTTAAGTCTTAGCTATTAAATACAGGAGTTTGGTTTACCCATGTAGTTAAAGAGGGTTTAAATTTAGGCTTTATGAGCCCACTTGTACTTTGCCACCAGGGGGTGCTATTACTTCTATACATTTTAAAGAGGTCCTCCCAAGGTCACAACAACCTCAAGGCTCTCAGCCTTCTCTCCCAATCCCCTTCCAAGTTCCCAGGCATTTAGTTGTACTTGGACCTGGAGCTCACTTGACTGCTTTATTCATGCCAATCCTTCTTCCTTAACATTCTCTCCACTTCTTCAGGTCCCATCAGTGTTGAGAAGGAATCTAGGCCAGCTCCTGGGAGACATTTAGCTCATTTGATCCTCTGCTTTCCAGTTGCCCTTATAGCAGTGGATGTCAGAATTGGACAACTTCAAAACAAGTCCATAAAGTCGCCATGGTGGTAGGGGCTCTGGGACCCAGTTTCAAGAGGCTTAGAGCATTGCCATTCCCCACCCAATTCCTAATCACTAATGCTCCAAAATAGGTTATCCTGTGGCCACTCAGTAATTGTCCCTTTGGTAGTCATCCTGGGGCACCGAAGTTCAGTCCTGTGGTCTGCTGGCTAGTCTCTGTGGATAATTAACCAGACAGAAGGAGCCAGGTCAGACTATTCTAGGGTTATGAGGAAATCCTTTGTGAGATGCTAAATTGGGAGCAAATATTGATCAGTGAAGCTTTGAAGTCACTGGGGAGGTAACTGAGGTCAGTGCTCCTCTGAAGAATTGCCTAAAATTTTTTCCTGAGACCTACCTATCTGATCCCCAGGCCAGAAGAGCATTGGTTGTTAGGTGTGAAGCTAGGTATAAACAAAATTAAGAAGAGAAAATAGGAGTTTTCTTTCTTTTTCTAAGTCCAAGCTACAAATTCAGTTTTTTGTAAAGGACATCTATCTAAATGTGGCTTAAGTGGATACTGAGCCCTCTGAACCTTGTTACTGACTGCTATGTGGTGAAATATAAGGGCTATTCATGGCCGGGCGCAGTGACTCATGCCTGTAATCCCAGCCCTTTGGGAGGCTGAGGTGGGTGGATCACCTGAGGTCAGGATTTCCAGACCAGCCTGACCAACATGGCGAAACCCTGTCTCTACTAAGAATACAAAAATTAGCTGGGCGTGGTGGCAGGCACCTATAATCCCAGCTACTCAGGAGGCTGAGAAAGGAGAATCGCTTGAATCCGGGAAGCTGAGATTGCAGTGAGCCGAGATCACGCGATTGCACTCCAGCCTGGGGGACAAGAGTGAGACTTGGTCTCAAAAAAAAAGTGGTGCTATATTACTTCAGGGCCATGGGTCATGTCATCGTCTCAGGGGAGAAAGGATAAAAGGGCATAGAAGATTGCCAATTAGGAGAAGTAGCCCAGAGGCCCTAGGGAAGGATGTGACGAAAGGGGATCTTCAATAAAGGGTTAGTCTGCGGCTCCTAATCTGTGGCTAACATGGGATGGGCTGCTCTGTGGCGTTACGTGACCAGAATGGCAGTGAAATTAATGCCCATGACCCAGAGGCTGTGGCCGGCTCTGTAAGCCTTCGTAGTAAGGGCCAGTTGTTTAGTCTTGGATTTCCTGCCATTATACACAGATTCTGACAGCTCACAAAGCACTGGATATTAAGGCATCTGCTTTTGCTTTCCCCATATATCAGGGTCTCTTGGTATCTATAATATCGTGGCCTCTGCTGACTTCAAATGATCTCCACCAAGTAGTTAACTCTGGCATCACAGCCTGTTGTCCACATGATCTTGGCCTGTTGTCCACATGGCCAAGAGTGGGACCTCCATGGCCATGAAGCCATTAACCAAAGGCATTTCTTGAGAAAGTGCATGCCAAGGTGGCAAGAGCAGCAAGCAATGATCAATTTCCATGATAGCATATTAAGGAATTGGCTCCCAAGGACCTTCAAAGGTCGAGTTCTGGAGCCAGTATTTTCCTTTAGTATTCACCTCAGATATAACCCCAAATATGTTAAGGTCGAAGGAAAAAGCCAAGAGAGAAGTTAACTGAGTTGTCAGGCACCTACTTAGCCACCTGCACTTCCCCGCCCGCCACCCAGCCACCCTTAATTAGCTTAATCCGGGCGGTCCAATCCTCCCCGTCACAACTGCTGTCAAGCGCTCAGGTCCCGCCCTGCTTCCATACCGGACCAATGGCCGAGCCCGGGGCGAGTCCTCTGAGAGGGGCGGGCTCGGGTTCCGGTTGGTGGGCGGGGCCTCGCTGAGGACCCCGGGCTGAGCGCCGCCGCCGGTTCGTCTACCCTTTCCTTCAGCCACCTCCTTTCAACCTTGTCCACCCGTCAGCGCGGCCTCTGGTGCAGCGGAGGCGGCTCCTGTTCCTGCCGCAACTCTCACCCCTTCTTCCCTCCCTACCAGATCCCGGAGATCGCCCGCCATGGCTTTACTCACTGCGGCCGCCCGGCTCTTGGGAACCAAGGTGAGCAGCCAGGGGAGGGAGCACGCTGTCCCAGGGTGGGGCTGAGGCGACCGCAGGCCCTCCAGCGCCTCGTCTCCCTCCCTCACCCGTGCGCACCCTGCGCGCCTTAAAGGGCCCTGCGCTTGGCTGGCCGCCAGCCCTGCATGAAGCTCCCAGGACCATGTGCCGCTCTTCCCTTCCGGCTCCTGGGGATGAAGTGCACGCCGCCCGCCCTCGGCCTGCAGTCTAGAGTGGGTGAGGAGGCCGACCCTGCTGGCACCCCGCATGTCTGAAGTGAAAGGGGGAGTCATGCGTGGCCCTGGAATGAGGAGCCGAGACAGGAATCTCTGATAGGTAACAGAGGTGTGGTGTTCCACTGGAGTTACAGTTTGGTGGAGGGAGCGGGAGTGAAGAGATGTGCTGACTGGAGCAGTGGCTCATTTCGTCTTCTGCTTTGTAGGAAGGACCTTGTCAGTCTCGAACTGCCTGTTTCCATTTCTGATTATTTAAGCCTTCAGTGACCACTCCGAGCACAAGAGTGGGTCCTTCAGGTCCTCCTTTTTGTCCTTGGGACTCTTGCACTTTTTATATAGGAGGAGCTTGGGTGGGGTGGAACACTTCTGTACAGCCTCTTGCATGACTATCATGTATGACTGGAGAAAGAACCAGAAAGGTGGTTCCACCAAACTGCAGGCCAATAAATGAAGATCCTCGGCAAGACAGAGTAATAGCAAGGTCACATGACCATCATACTACTTGCTTGCCCATGTTATGCCGTTGATCTTAAGTCTACTTTATCCACGAACTTTCTCTCCTTTGGGATCCTTTACCTGATATTTCTTGCCTTTTGGGTCACAGAAATACTGTTGCAGGTAATGTTGCTTTCAATTTCAAATTGCCAGTATTTTTGGTTCTGGGTAACTTGGCCCTTTTAGACAGAAACTGCTGTGCTGAGGGAGTCTCAGCCCTCTAATCCAAGCAGGGGACAGTCCCACAAGTGACCTTGACTTCTGCAAAGAACCTACACTCTTTTCTGCGCAGAATTTAAAGTTGACAGCATCTGAAGGAAAGGAAAGGCTTAGGATGGTTTTGGTTTGTTGTATTTTTTTTTTTTTTTTTTGAGGCAAGGTCTTACTCTGTAACTTAAGCTGGAGTCTTGTGATGTGATCAAGGCTCCCTGCAGCCTCCACGTCCTGGGTTTAAGCAATCCTCCCACTTCAGCCTCCTGAGTAGCTGGGACCACAGGTGTGCACCACCATGCCTGGCTAATCTTTCTTTATTTTTAGTAGAGGCAGCATTTCCTTGTTACCCAGGCTGGTCTCAAACTCCTGAGCTCAAGTGGTCTTCCTACCTCAGCCTCCCAAAGTTCTGGGATTATAGGTGTGAACCACTGCACCTGGCCTGCTGTGCATTATTTTGCATGGTTGGCACAAAGTGAAACCTTTAAGATTTACCTTGGTTCTTCCAGGTACCCAGTAGTAAGTACTAGCTGAGCATTTGGGGGATGCTTGTCTTATTTGGTTGTTGCTTTGCCTGCTGCTGGGGAAAAGGGTAAAGAAACTTCTTGGGAAATGAAGTAAGTTCCAGATAGCATTTTGGCAGAATGGGGGACCCTATAATTAGCTCATTTCTGAGCTGCTAACCCAGACCAGATAGTCTAACCCTACAGTGAATGTGAAAAAGCCTTAGGATTTACCTGTTGAGTTTATTTTCTTCCTTAAGCCTATACGGAAGCTGAGAACACTTTTGGGATGACAGAGATACACAATTATGGTACCTTTATTTTACTGTTAGAGATGGCCTGAGGATCCTAGAAACCTATCAGTTGAAAGCCATTAAAAGGCTTTTGACCCTTAAAAGTAGGCTGGGTGTAGGGGCTCACACCTATAATCTCAGCACTTTGGGAGACTGAGGCGGGTGGATCACCTGAGGTCGGGAATTCGAACCAGACTGACCAACATGGAGAAACCCCATCTCTAGTAAAAATACAAAATTAGCCAGGTGTGGTGGCACATGCCTGTAGTCCCAGCTACATGGGAGGCCGAGGCAGGAGAATCACTTGAACCTGGGAGGCCAAGGTTGCAGTGAGCCGAGATTGTACCATTGCACTCCAGCCTGGGCAATGAGAGTGAAACTCTTTCTCAAAAAAAAAAAAAAAAAAAAGTAGCAAAGCCCAATAAACTCAGGACTGGAAATCTCCTGAGAAATAAGTAACATGTTCAGGATACAAGAAAACTGTCAACTTGTCAGCATTGCTATCACCTACCTGCACTTTCCAGATTAGCCTGTGGATAATGGTAGTCATAATTGGTAATTTTACTTTTGCTATTATGGTAGACTTGGGAGGCAATAATAGTCTTCTCACCAGGGAGAACTGACTCTTAAAACTTTGATTCTCAGTGTCAGATGTAGTTTTACTTTTCTGAGAAGAAATTTTTTTTTTTGAGACAGTCTTACTCTGTCACCCAGGCTGGAGTGCAGTGGCACAATCTTGGCTCACTGCAACCTCCGCCTCCCAGGCTCAAATAATTCTCATGATTCAGTCTCCTGAATAGCTGGGGTTACAGATGTGCACCACCACGCCCAGCTAATTTTTTGTATTTTTGATAGAGACGGGATTTCAGTATATTGACTAGACTGGGGAAATTTTTTTAAACTTACTAGGAGACAAAATATGAATTAGTCATTGTTCTATTGTTCTGCTCTCACTGCCACATAATTTAAATGAACACCTGAGTTAGAGAGAGAAGCTAATTCAGAGAGCATTGAGATTATTTGACTCGTTTATTCAAATGAATTCATGCTAAGCCACGGCCTTAGGATTATCTATGGGTTGACTCAGTTTTGTGACATCAAAAGTGTCTTTTCACAGCCTACCCAAAGTAATGTTGATTCCTTGATACTTACTAGAATAACAGGGGAAGCTTTATGGGGTGTAGTGGTGAGATGATTGCATTTGATCTTCCTAGTGGCCTTTAGGTTGGTAGCAGGTGAACGAATGCATGGGAAGGCAGCAGGGACAGTATGGTGAGCAGCAGTGATGTAGACAGAGAGAGTTGGCATTCCTGACTTTTAAAATCCAAAGGGTAGGAGAAGGGAAACCAGACTTGGTGCATTTCACTAAAGCCACACAATGATTCCTTCTGCCCTATGTCAATGTTTTTTGCAATAAGAGTTGAGTAGGTTGTGAAATTTAAAACAGTAGTGAGACAACTTTAGCAATAGCCCTTTCTTAGCATCTGATTATTTTTCGCTTCTTGCTTCAACTGCCCAAATTCCCAAGTTCTCTGTTTTGGGTTTTGTTTGTTTGTTTGTTTTTGAGACAGCATCTCTTACTCTGTCACCCAGGCTAGAGTGCAGTGGTGCGAACATGGCTTAGAGACAGAGTTTTGCCATGTTGTCTAGGCTGGTTTTGAGCTCCTAGGCTCAAGCAGTGTGCCAGTCTCAGCTTCCCAAAGTGCTGGGATTATAGGCGTGAGCCACTGCACCCAGCCTTCTGTATTGCTTTCAACATGATGCTATTTTAAAAGGTCTATAAACTCACAATGGGCATTGTCACCTGTAATGCTTGCTTATGTTGCAGATTCCTGCATCCTACCTTCAGATATGATTCTGCAGAGTAGGATGGAATCTGGAAAAGTTTCTTGCAAATCCCTAAAGTGTTAGGGAGCTAAAACTTGTATGAACTCCTAGCAGATGTAAGGGAATAGTTTCTAATTCCTGAGAAAGTATTATGGTGACAGATCCTATATTCTTTATTCACTAGTATATACTTAGTATACACATAATAAGTGAGTGTTCAAGAAATATTTATTAGCCAGGCATGGTGGCTCATGTCTATAATTCCAGCACATTGGTGGGGAGCTGAGGTAGGAGGGAGGATCACTTGAGGCCAAGAGTTTAAGATCAGCCTGGCAACATAGCAAGACCTTGTCTCTTTTTTTTTTTTTTTTGAGACAGAGTTTCGCTCTTGTTACCCAGCCTGGAGTGCAATGGTGCAATCTCGGCTCACCGCAACCTCCGCCTCCTGGGTTCAGGCAATTCTCCTGCCTCAGCCTCCCGAGTAGCTGGGATTACAGGTACGCGCCACCATGCCCAGCTAATTTTTTGTATTTTTAGTAGAGATGGGGTTTCACCATGTTGACCAGGATGGTCTTGATCTCTTGACCTCGTGATCCACCCACCTCGGCCTCCCAAAGTGCTGGGATTACAGGCGTGAGCCACCGCACCCGGCCCAAGACCTTGTCTCTTAAAGAAGAAAATGTTCGTTAAAGAGCAGTAACGGTTAGCCAGGTGCAGTGGTTTATGCTTGTAATCCCAGCACTTTTGGAGGCTGAAGTGGATGGATCACTTGAGGTCCGGAGTTCAAGACCAGCCTGGCCAACATGGTGAAACCATGTCTCTACTAAAAATACTCCAGTTAGCCAGTCATGGTGGCAGGTGCCTATAATCCCAGCTACTTGGGAGGCTGAGGCATGAGAATCGCTTGAACCTGGGTGGCGGAGGTTGCAGTGAGCTGAGATTGTGCCACTGTACTCCAGCCTGGGCAAGAGAGTGAGACTCCTTTCAAATAAAAAAAAAAAGAAAGAAAGAACAGTAAGGGTTTCTACTAAAAGGAAAGTTAAGACTTTTCACGCCTGTAATCCCAGCACTTTGGGAGGCCGAGGTGGGTGGATCATGAGGTCAGGAGTTCAAGATCAGCCTGGCCAACATGGTGAAACCCCATCTCTCCTAAAAATACAAAAATTAGCTGGGCGTGGTGGTAGGCACCTATAATCCCAGCTACTCAGGAGGCTGAGGCAGGAGAATCTCTTGAACCTGGGAGGCAGAGGTTGCAATGAGCCGAGATTGCACCACTGTACTCCAGCCTGGGTGACAGAGACTCTGTCTGGAAAAAAAAAAAAAAAAGACTTGTGATTCCTTTCTGAAGATGGAAGCTGTAGTAGTATCTTTTGTCTTTTGTAGTCTTCCTTTCTGAGTGATCAGTGAATCTTTTTTTTTTTTTTTTTTTTTTGAGTCGGTGTCTTGCTCTGTTACCCAGGTTGGAGTGCAGTGGGCATGATCTTGGCTCTCCCAATTAGCTGGGATTACAGGTGCATGCCACCATGCCTAGCTAATTTTTGTGTTTTTAGTAGAGACAGAGTTTCACCATGTTGGCCTGACTGGTCTTAAACTCCTGACCTCAGGTGATCTGCCCACCTTGGACTCCCAAGGTGCTGGGATTACAGGCATGAGCCACTGCACCTAGCTGTGATCAGTGAATCTTTAGGTAAGAGACTGTTGGAAAATGATAGTTGGGTAGAATTATTAAGGAAATGTCTGTGAGTATGAAGGAGGTCAAAGGACATCTATAG